AGTTTAAACTGTAAATAAATTGCTACTGTATCACTTTTATGAATAAATTACTGCCGAAAAAGAAATATATTATGAATAACTAATAAATATTCCTAATATTTGTATGTTTTAAACTCAACTAAAGTAAATAAAAAAATATGTGTTATTAATTTTCCAACATTCAACGTTTAGTCAGCAATTTATCAAAAACAACCAAGAGAAATACCTAAAGGTCTACATCTACTTGATCACGTACTATTAAAATAACTGATAATAGACACTTAGAAATAATCAACAAAATGGACTAATATAACCCATCTTGACTTTATCTTTGAATTGAATTTATACTTTCATCTTTAGATCAGTTCGCAGACATACCTACACCTAGTCCAGATCTACAAACGTTTTTAAAGAAATACCCGATGTAAACACAAAAATATTTGTAAACATTAATAGAATGTTTTTTGCTTGCCCCTGAACAAAAATTTAAGGGAAGAAGTAATCTGTGGACATCAAAAAATATTATTATATGTATATTATATTATTATACAGGGTCAGAAAGTCCCATGGTTCATCGGCCGTTACACGAGAGCGATAAAGTTAGTCATAAAAATCCGTGCGATAGAGAAAGATGGCTATAATGAAGGCGTCTAATAGTCACCGCCCATTTCGCCCTTCCACAAATAAGGAGTGGATCTTATTTGTGGAAGCACAAAATGGGCGGTGACAATTAGACACCTTCATTATAGGCATCTTTCTCTATCGCACGGATTTCTATGACTTTCTTTATCACTCTCGCGTAACGGTCGATGAACCATGGGGACTTTCTGACCCTGTATTATTCATTTCAGTAGGTTTTTCAAAGAATATATATTCAAAAGCGAAACAGTTAGAGAAAATTTCGCAAGCTACATATTTTGGGGGAAGTAAAACATGTTTGATTATGATATTTTTTCAAGAGTACAACATTCTGAAAATATTTTCGCACTGGAAATAAACGATGAAGCTGAATGCCGAGATTTTTTGAGAATGGCAAAGAAATATTATATTTATAAAATAACTGTCACATGAAGAAAAGTGAAGAACATGAAATACATAAATATAGTCATACAATAATAATTTTAATAACTATTATTATTAGTTATTAAAATAACTATTAATTAGTAACGACAGTGAAAAAAAAACTAATTGTAAAATTCTTTTGTAACAAAAATAAAATGTTTATCTAACAAAACAAAAAAACATTATCTCATTCCGTAACATGATCTACATCAATAAAATCAACCAATAAATTCAATTTAAGTATTGGAAAATATTATTTTTCCTATTTTCTAAATTGGTACTTTCATCACTCTGTATAATTTTTTTTTCTGAAGCTTTTAAGTTATTATTAAATATGTTATTGCTTTGAAATTGTACAAATTGTTTGTCCATGAGTATAATATATTTTTAGTGAACCTAAACACTTTTACTTGAAACCCAAAGCCCAAAGAAGGATCTTGAAATTTGAAGTCTTTGGGTCAAAATGAACTTGGCAACCAGAAACGATTGATCCGTGTATGCTCATACAACAAATAAAAATTATAGAATTATAATATTTTGAATTTGCATTCATTTGTGAATAGATATATTCATCAGTTGTTTATGGCCAAATGTTTATGTGTAAAATTTTTGTTTACCATCCTAGATGGAAACCAAAAACACATGCATTTGTGGCACATGTGTTTGTATGTCTGCAAGCAGAAGTATGTAGATATGGACTAGGCTATATGAACCCTTAAGTACAAACAAGGGGCATTTTTCAATGTAAATTTTTTCTAACAGCATTTCATTAAAAATTTTGTGATATAGTTAATGTAGCGTTTCCAAACGATTACTATAGATAATTTTTTCAATCTAACACGGCAATTCATTAAAAATTTTGTGATATAGTTAATGTAGCGTTTCCAAACGATTACTATAGATAATTTTTTCAATCTAACACAGCAATTCAAAACAATATCACAAAATTAAAATTTTGTGATATTGTTAATGTAGCGTTTCCAAACGATTACTACGGATTAATTACAAAAGCATTATTCAATATATAGAAAAATATACAGGGTGATTCACACCGAGTGTAAGATTGAAAATAATAGGTAAATAATTTTGAATGGTTTAGTAATCATAGGGAATTTAAGTAATAGTAGAGCTATGAACAAACATTTTTTGATTACTTTTTAAATATGTGATAAGACCATTAAACTTCACTTTTTGATAAAGTTTAAGACTAAACAATTTTTCTAGCATAGAAATAGGAAATTTCTAACATGTTTCACACCATAACTTTTACATCAGTGAAAATAATTTGAATTTGATGGAATACAGTCAAAGATCTTTAAAATCTCATTGTTTATTATGCTAGGTGCTGTTAAATTTGTATTAAAAGGCTCCAAAGGCAATAGTGAGAGTGCAACATGTAGTTCAATTAGAGGGAGCTAAATCATTATTAATTTTGGTAAATCTGGTTAAAAACAACCATCTTGTTTTCTACAGAATTGTCCGCCGTAAAATTAAAAATAATTGTTGTAATTCTTAAATAAAAAAGGCCAAGAAACAGTTTTTTTTTTAACTCCACTCAACAATTTGATAAAATACACGTCACATTTTGAAGGCGCAACAATATCATTCAATATACAGGGTAATTCACAACTTATCCAAAAAAATTTGGGAATAGATGCAGCATGAGAAATGGAGTCAATATCGTAAAAAAAATTTGTAAAATGCTTATCGTTTCCGAGAAAAAAATTATTAATAATAATAATAATACATTTATTCTCAACGGATTAATACCCAATTACAGAGAAAAAAAAATATATGTAAGACAAAGTGTATAACAAAAAAAGTAGTTCACAATATACGAAAAAAAAAAAGGAAAAAGAAAAACAACAATTAAGCAGGATAACCCATCAATAACTATAGCGTGGACTTAAACTTAGCAATAATATAACTTATACCATGAAAATTGATGTCGCACTGATCGGATATACCATTGAATAATTGACACATAGTATAAATCGGTGATTTAACTAATATATTAGTTCTAGGGGTTTTACAATAAAAAGTAGGCTTATATCTTGACTGGGCTCTTGGCACTGAAAATGAAAATTGTTGCAAAAGATAGTCACAATCAATTGAGTTATTAAACAGTTTACACAAAAAAGTTAACGCAGCGCAGTTTCTTCTGTCTGACAATGCAGGAAGACTGAAAGACTCGAGTAGAGTTAGATGATCAAATCCTCTGGGGGGATAAAACCCATTACATTTAAAATACATAAATTTTAGACATTTACGCTGTACGGATTCTATATGGTGGATAGAATTTTGATATATAGGAGACCAAATGATTGATGCATAATCCATTTTACTTCTAATAAATGTTACATATAAAATTCTAAGTGAATTTATTTCGGAGAACTCGCCCCAATTCCTAATAAAATATCCTAACAATCTGCAGGCAGAAGAAACAGTTTCCAGGACATGATTGTTGAAGGAGAGTCCCTTATCGAATATTACTCCCAAATCTTTATATGTATCACATCTCTCCAGTACAACTCCATTCAGTGAATAATCAAATATTATAGGATATGATTTCCTATGGAACGAAACAACCTTACACTTAGTTAAGTTTAGTTCAAGCCTGTTGTTAAGACACCAGCTGTGAACTTCATCTAGCGAGGCCTGTAGGACCTTGCAATCGATAACTGAATTAATTTGTAAATAAATTTTCAAATCATCAGCAAAAAGCAAATGTTGCACAGATATTTTAGTTGAAATGTCATTCACAAAGAGAAGGAACAGTAAAGGACCCAAATTCGACCCCTGAGGAACACCTGATGTCGACACATACATCTCAGAACGTACACCACCATATTCAACATACTGACGACGATTTAGTAAATATGATTCGATTAGGTTGGATAACGAACTTGAAAACCCTGTTGCTCTGAGTTTAGACAGCAGACATAGATGATCAATTCTGTCAAACGCTTTTCTTATGTCAGTATATATTGTCAGTATTATTGTCAGTATTATTGAAGTTATAGTACATTCAACCACTACATAGCTGGACAACTGTAGTCTCTAGCGTCATTCGCAATACGCGCGGAGAGCCACGTGGCCTCAGCGACTCCGAATACTGAAATCTGCTTTTGCAATCGTCATTGCCGATAGTGTTTACCTGTTATCTGTGGTGTTTACAATAGTTTTTTAGTAGTTAGTGTCAAAGATGGTTTGTGTGAATAGCAACTCGGAGTTGATGGATATCGTTTTAATTTATGGTGAAGCAAGGCAACATTTGTATTATGGTGAAGTATTTGTGTTATGATGAAGCAAGACAACATTTGTGTTAGTTCGTAGAAACTGATTAAGATGGACCCAAATGTGTTTACACGTTGGTGGATAAAATTTTGAACAATTGTTGTTGTAACATCGGGTATGTCAAATGATTTTATTATTTAAAAACACAAATTAATTTTATTAATTAATAAAGACAAAAGCAGTTGAATTTGCCAATATAAAATAGGTGCTATAAAATTCTATTTATTTCTTTTCTTGCGAGTTTTTGTCCGTTTTTATCACACCGCCATGCCGGTCGCATTGTGCGAGGTCAGATTTTACAGTGGACCAGTTTCCAGTGGCGTGCAGAAGTGTATTTTTAAATAATTTTCGAACTGCCCTTTTTGATTTTTTCTTTACAAAATTGTATTTGTAAGGGTCCCCTGTACATCCAGAATTTTTTTTTTGGATAAGTTCTGAATCACCCTGTATAGAATCATGGAAAGTAAAAACTACTACAACAGTACTAATAAAAGTATGTATAAAGAAGATAAAGTAAATTTTAAGGTTAAAAAGCACAAAAAAGGTAGGTCAACACTTATTTGTTCTTTCTAAATAAACAGATTCAAATTTGTAAACCAAATAAAAACTTAAAAAACTTATCTAAGAACAGCGTTATATTGTTCTTCTTTCGTGAATTTATGAACCCTGGCGATTCATGCAAGATTTAGTTATGCACAAGTTTCAAAAAGAGAGAAATTGTTGAAGCAGATTCCACAAATTGCCCAACAATTAAGAGGAAACAAACATGAAAAAACACTTGACTGGTTCTTTTGGCATAAGTACTTTATTTATTTAAAATTTATCTTTTCAGTCAATGTGGCAGAAATACCCCAAGAAAAATAGAAACAATAACCATGTCACGTCGCCTATCAGCCTACAAGCTTGTATTCAACGAGGGAAAGGACAAGGGAAATAAAATAGTGTTTATTTGGTATACGAATTTAAATTTGTTTATTTCATGAAATTTGAACAGAATGATATGGAACACCTTGTAGATATAACGTCTACATCCTCAGTTGAGTTTAACACTAATGTTGTTGGATAAAGAAAAACGTTTAGCTTTTTCAGAAAAAATGTATCTGACTCGTAATGTTTGCTGGTTGTTAAACAACAAATATATTTACAAAAACTGCTACAGCAACTTCTATTTTAAGTAAATAGTGCTGGTAACATACCTTCAAATACAAATTCCGAGTAGTTCATTAAAAATTATCTATTTTTACAAATGTACAGGCTAAAATTATTCAATCACATCAATATTATATTGCACATTCTGAAATCTAGATTAGTTATTTGTTATTCAAAATATATTCCAATAGTAAATCTCCCACAATTCCAAGCAATATTTTACAAGATGAAGTGAAGCGACTAAAAAAAAATCATAAAATTTAGAAACGAAATGAAATGGCCTTGCAGTCTATAATTTAATGGAATTGTCCAACTCATTTGTACTGCATAAAAAAAAACTTGAACACACAATATGTATGTTGCAATATATAAATTAAACATAAAATAAAACAAATCAGGTCACTATTTATGACAAAAAAAATCTAATTCGATAAGCACAATTGAGGCAAATTTAACAAGTGTAGTAAAATAATGCACCACTTTTTAACACGTGATTTAAAACATATTTTAATCTTAAAATAATATATTATGAGACGTTTGAACACTTGATTTTAAATTTTTCAACTAATCCGAGAACTCAAACAATTTCTCTTCGACTTGTTCCACAGTATCATTAGCCATTTCGATTTCCTTGAAGATTCTGCAATACCACATTCTCTCTAATAATCCTAACTTAAGGCTATTAAATGTCTTTTGAAGCAACTGCAAATTCTCAGCATTTCTATTTACAGCTTCTAAAATTTCTGAATAGATTTCTTCGAAATATTCATCATCCGATTCATCTTGCTCGACATCACTATCTTCATCACTATCGGCAATATCAATATATTCATCAAGTCCATCTTCCACATCATTATTTTCCAAAGCATTTTCAATTTCAGGGTTCATCGTTGTTTTATTACTGCTGTTTTCAAGGTTATTAATCAAAAAGCTTTTACAGAGGTTAGTTTAACAGTAAAACATTTGAAAGATTATGAAGCCACTTAGCCCACTTGATTGTCATTTGAGAAAATGATTATCAACGTGACATGTTGCATCGACTATTTTAAATTTACAAAGTTGGTGAATTATAATAGAAGAAGCTTACCATTTAAACCAAAATTATAGAAATATGAAGATATACACTACATTTACTAAAAACATCTAGTGTGGTGGTGGTGGTAACATTTTTTAGAGGTAAGACTAGCTAACATTGTACTTAAAAGCTGCTAAAAAAATCATATTAATATTTATTATTAATATAATAATAATATTAATAATTAATAATATTAACTACTATAACTTCATAAAAATATAAAAATGCGAATAAATCTTATAATACTTGACTTTTCAATAATAAAACGGGTAATACCTGCCTTAAATTGACATTTTAAATTAAAAATGGTTGCATAAACATATTCAGGATGTTGAGCTGATAAGGACATTGCTTCAGTTATACAACCAATACCCTTTCTCGACCAGTTTTGTGAAATTCGAGTAAAAATAAGAAGGAATTAAATCCTTTCCGGTTTCCCCAATTTCAACCATCATGTTTCCCCGTTTTATTCATAATTTTGGTGGATTTAAATTCATCCACCTGTAGTGGCAGTCGAGTAGTCTACTGACACGTGATAAAAATTTGGAGTGAACCTTGTCTCAAAAAACAAAGTAAGCATTGAACTATTCATAAATAGATTCGATTTATATGGTTAATGTCTAATTATCAATATTAAATCGAGAAATGTGCTTTTAAACATGGGTAAATTCACTTGTTTTCAGCCAGTTAGGTATAAAATAGTATTTATTTTTTTTTAGGTCATGTTTACAAAAATGATATGTATCAGAATTTGTAATATTGGAAGAAATTTTTTAATAATATTCATCTACTTAAATGTTTTGCAAAGAAATTCTGTAAACCCACTATATACCAGTTGTCGATCAGCTTATTCCAGTAATTGACCAATGCAATGCCATTTTTCAGCCGTATTTTCCATTATATAATTGACTGCAATGGGACTTTTTAGCCACATTTAATAATTAGTTAATTTATCTTTATGTAAGTTTTTAAAAAACATGAAAATGCCAATGATTATATAGATTGATTTTTTCATCACAAAATCACTTGTAATACAGAAAAAATAACAATTTTTGATTATAATTAAGTATTCAATATAAGGGGCATATTTATGATTGAAATTGAGCAACGGTTAGTCGAAATTAGGTAAAAAACAAGTTTGATTTAAAAAATTTTAGTTTAGTATAGTTTAAATAGTTCAGAGAAGTTCCAGATAATAAATATAATAATTTTTATATTCGACAATTTTATAATAACTGATTTTCAGATTCGTAGCTTTCAAAACAACGAATTTTTAATAGTTATTATAAAGCTTAAAATCAAAAAATATATCCTAAATTGTGGAAAACCTAAGCAGTGACCCCATTACTCTAACAAAACTCGGAATGCTATTATTCTAAATTGTGTATTGAAAACAATGAAAAATATTATTGTAGCTAAATACCACATTAATTTTTTGATTTAAATAAAATTTGAAGAAGTATTTTAGTTACACCTTGTATAAAAAACAACTTGTGGAAGCAGTAAAACATCCTTACAGATAAAAATCAATTCATATTTACCTCAAGTGTGCTTCGGTATGAATCGAATATTCACATTTCATAAAAATCTATCGCATCATATTTATGTCTTAAGACGTAACCATATTAGGACTGGAAGTTGGTGTCGATCGAAAAACTGTGTACAATAAAGTGGTAATTATCACATGGGCAAACCGGACTGACCTGAAGAACCATCTTGAAACAGACGTATAAATCTCTCTCCGTTACTTCAATATTAGGCTAATAAATTAAGGTTATGTTAGCCATCCATTGGCGGGCCGAGGTATACCATTGACACTTCTGTATTGCCATAAACTGCCGATACTGTTGGGTACAGCTTCTTATTTGGTAAACCTAAAAGTTTTCTAGTAAGAATTGGAAATATATACTATTATTTGGAACAAAATATTAAACGAGATATTAATGATTATTTCAAATAAAATCTATCATTAAAACGTGGTATAAACTTACCCCGAAATGCAACTCCTAAAAATTCATAGTTCTTTTCAAAAGACAGTGTATTATCATCACAATCCAATACGACTCTTATTCTTTCTCCAACCTAAAAAGCATATCAACATATTAGTAAGTACGTATTGTAATGAAAAATGAATAGGATACCTACTTAAAAAATTAATCTATTTACTTTTTTACATTTATAAAATTATTTTCATTTCAATAAACTGAGATTTCAGGGATGAAAAAACAGAACAGATTCAAAAATGCCTAATCATAGTAAACAATAAGAATATGAAATTTTATAATACCAAAAGAGACGACCAAAAAGAAAAGTACACCACTGAGTACACCACCTACACTAATATGTACCTGTTTTGTCACCTAATGCCCTTAATTTCAATGTAATAACTTTTAATGTAAGGCAATGCCCTTCCAATTCCCATCAATGAACAGGCTGTAACTTGGGATTTTTTTTTTCAATATTAATTACTCAAGCATTAATCAGAAATATTTGAAAAAAAGATAGAGAGCAGAGGGGTGGCGGCTTCAGTTAAATATTACCGAAGTATTACTCACTCAAATAGTTTTCAGTGTTATTCAAATATTGCTCAAACTTGTACCTAAATATTACTCAAACTTGTGCCTCAAAACATTCCCGTGGTTTCCTTCTCGTTTCTTATCAGACAAAAGTGAGTAATCAAAAATCAAAAAAAAATATATATATATATATATTAGACAAAAGTTGTTGCTTTTTAAGAAATAATAAATGTAGTTAAAATTTGGGCACATATTTTTGGGACACTATACAAATAAACATAGAAGTTGAAAAGAGAAATCAGATTTGTTCAACATAGGGGCGTATAAATATTTTTGTATAAAAATATACCTAGTAGTAAGTTAGCCTTTTGCAAAAAATGTTTTTCTAAACACAAAAGTTTGATTTACATGATGATTGGAAGGATACACAGAAAAAGCAATAGATTTGAATCAAGGATACATTTATTTAGTACCTACATTTGTTTAAACATTGTCTGTTAATTGCAGCACCTGGGCTATTTCTAGTCTATTCTAATAGACTATTATACTAAGCCTCCATGAGTGTCAGCACACTACAGAATTTTTTACAAATAGGGTTGCTGACTATAAAAATAAACCATATACAAATTGTTGTTGATACAAAGATTTTATATAAAAGAACCTGCCTGTATAGTAAAATTTTAAATACTTATATGACAAATTAGTGGTAGAAATCATTTATGAATTTTTGTGTTACTTAAAAACTAGTCTGACGTCATAAGGGGCAATTGAACAAGAAGCTATAGTACGATCATATTCGATGCAAAGTAATAAATCATTGCCTGTCAAGGGAACCAATGAAGTACGCCTTTAAGGGTTTTACAAATTGAATAATTTCTTTATACATTATGAAGGGACGAGGGGATCAGTTCAGGTCTGGCACCCTTGTTGCTACAAAAATTCCTTTATTCTCATAAACTATTTATTTTAAATGTAATTTATTATAAATCCAATTTGTTTCCTAAATTCCACATATGTAGGTACTACATTTTACCTCTGTACGCGCCACTGTTGTTTACTTGTTTTTTGGAAGCGCTCTCTAATTGACGGCAAATCTCGCCAGGTTAGTATTTGCCGTATAACCGACCAGTTCGTACACTCGATGCACCTGGGCGACTACAGCTACTACCAGAACACAGTGCGTATGCAGCGGTATTTCAGATTTTACATTGAATTTCATTTTAAATTTGAAATGATTTATCTTACGCCTCCTAAAAATGATGACACGATTTTTCTTTGATAAAAGGCCGACAATTTTTTGCTCTACTTTGCATCGTATACGATCCTACTATAGTAGCGATCCTATTGCATAATTATGAAGAAGAAAATATATCAAAATTGTCCATCAAGCCCTGTTATCCTGTTTCCTGTTTTTTAAACAAAAGTGACAGTAGTGACACTAGCGACAGCAGTCTATCAATTAAGAGTATTTGTGATAGTTATTATTAATTTCCTGATTGTAATGGATTCAACAAAATTTAAGTGGTATTTTGTTCCACATTCCACATAGCCAATTGCATTATCTCCATAAGACTCCCGAACTGCACTATAATTTTCCGTAAATAAGTAGGTATTTATATTTATTATTTATATTATAAATAAACACAATAAAATCATTCATTAAATATGTTAATCCTTACCTGACTGTTTTTATACCTCTGATTTCGCCAATATTAAAACGGTCGTCTATTTTAAAAAATTCAATTCATCATCATAAAAATATCAAGCTTTCACAAATCCCGTTTCACACATTCTGCTTTAATTCGATGGGAAGGGAGATATTAAATGATTACTACTAAATAATAATTTTACTTAATAAAGGAATTCGAATATTAAGGAAAATAACTCGTAGACTCGAAAATATTTAATGCGACAATGTCACTGACAGACTGACACTACTGACAGTGTTGACAGAGCATCTTCTTCCTCCAATTTTTTCCTTTACGCAATCATCTACACATAATTTCACTACAAGGTGCCCATTATGACGTCACAACCGTTTTGAAATATTATAAAAAAATCAGTTTTAAATAATTATTTTAAAACTGTTCAAACGCATTTCTCAATCTCTAATTGTGCATACACACTAATTAGCACCTGTAGAATTATATTATCTAGTTTTTGAAATTTGGTCAACAACCCTATTGCCTTAATCATTATACTGACATGTCTTAGAAAATATGACAAAAGTTAAATACTTGTTGACGGTGCTTCCTTAAGCCATTTTAGGCCCAAAAGTCTTAACAAACCAAAGGCCTTAAAGTTACTGGTTTCCAATACATAGGACGTTAAAGTTATTGAAAAATATGGCATAGTTGTTCTAAGAGTTTTAATGACAAAGGTTCCTCCAAATATCCACCGCTAGTTGACAGTTTTATATTTTTCTTTAATTAGTTATATTATTTCCCCAAGTTTTGTCAATCTATGTCAAACAACTTCAGAGATCTTGGAAACCAGTATCTTTAGGCCAGTGGTTTATTAAAGCTTGTGTCTAAAAAGACCAAAGGAATTACGCTCTCAATTACATGGACATGGACTTATATGACTCTGTATTCTAAATGTCCACTAGTTATAAATAAATGCCTTAGTAATGCCCATAATACCTTAGCAATTCCTTTACTTTTTTATAACACCCACACAATGCCTAATAATATCTACTAATACCTATTAAATTTAATATAATCTGCAATTCCCAATAATATCTGGGTCTCATACACCGCAATGTCCCCAGCGTTTTGTCTCTCGGAGAATACATAATACGATAGTTTTGTAAAGATGACCGTAAGGATTTAACATGGTTTAAGAGTTATCAATTATCATGCTATAGTCAGAGTATGTGATGTCAATAGTCCAACAACAGAGTTTATAGTAGGTACTTATAATTCCAGTCACCAAGATTCTTTTACTTATTTTAGTAGAAGGCATCTAGGTACTTTAAGTAACATGCTTCCTGACAATTAAATTACAGTAAAAGTGACCATTTACCTGATACTTTGGGGCATTATTTAGTAATGGATAATTTCCTTGAGCGTCCCCATTGTGTAGCAAATGATTATCCACTAAGTTCCAGCCCCAGCTTTGATCATCGGACCCTAATAAGGCCACGTAACCGTGGCACTGTAAAGGAGCATCCCTAGTAGCAATTCCTATTACTGCCACTGTTCCTAAAGGTCCTTCCCATATCACTTCCCATGTGTGCCTTCCATGACGAAAACCTATTTTACCCCTCGCCGCATCAGTACTTTGTGCTACAGGATTTCTATGCAAAGTAAAGCCATTTGGTTTAATGTAAATATTTCTTGAACAGTCATTAGGATTCCATGCATGGTAAAATGCTCTTAGTTTAGCTTTGTATGTGGGAACTGATGATAATAGATCCGACTTAAGAGCCTCTTCAGCAAGCTTTCTTACACAATGTAACCTCCAAACGTCATTATTTTCATCATTTAAAAAACTATACCACCTTTTACACACTAATGAACAGTTTCGTAAATCATGAAGTGTTAAGAATGAAAATATTACTTCCAATACATTATCTGGCATTTGAGTTGCCTTGGTATCCATTTTTATTTTTGTAGATTTATTTTTACTCGCCATCGTTACTAACTTTTATACTTTACTATTACTACCCTTCATTAGTCGAAAACAACCCCTAGCACAGCCCTTGCACCACACCACAGAACATAACACATCTACAGTCTGTCATTCTTGTCTTGGCTGCTTGGCAGTTGTCACTGTTGTCAAATATTTAAAAAAACAGGTTACAAAGCAAAGAATAAACATATGTATGAAATAGCAAATAGGGGCTTTACAGGGCCGGCTTAAATTTAAGTACCTAATCCAAATCGGAAATTCTAATCTAATTTCGAATTGTATTAAGAATGCAATATGCACTTATTTTTAATAAGAACCTTTTTAAATCTAGCAATTTTTTAACCTTATCTATTTATGATAAAATTAAGGGGACTTTGTCTTATTCCAATATTTGTTCATTCGTTCAAATGAGATTTTCGTCCAGTTCTCCTATACCCCTATAAAAGATATCTACACCTCTAAAACTAACTAAATTTTTTAAGATAAATATCGTAATAAAATAGTTTTGATTAAATTTGTTTACGATATCCAACTAAATTGACTAAATGAAAAAGTTAAAGACAATGTTCAATGTTCATGCTTATTTGCTATTTGACGTCATAATACAATCGTGCTAACACGGGAAAAGTACATAATTGCCAGATTATGAATTAATTAGATATTTAACACTAATGTATTTTCGTTCGTGACAAACAAGTTTGTATATAAAAAGAGAGGTTTGGTCACTCCCCCCACCCTTCCTTTTTCACTGAGTTTCCACCTGTAATTTGAATTATAAATACCCTACTTTCATTGAAATGTACAAAAACAAAGTGAGGATTCGGCAAATCGGCATTTCCAGATTGACAGTTGCTCGTGCCTATCGTAGATACTTATAATAATCATAGTAACAGAAATAGGCCGATGTAAAATAACCAAAAAGGGAAAAAAGAAATAAAAACTAAAATAAATCGATTTTTTTAGGCATTCTGCTGATGTTCATCGTTGACAGAAAATATTTGCTTACACTGTTTGCAATGAACGTCGTTAAAATAGCACTTGTAACGACATTCATTATGTCTTTTATAAAAAATTAATTAGAATTATTCACTCTCGTTTTTTTTATTAGTTATAATGAAATTGTACATTATAAAAAGTAGGTACTTTGAGTATCTATATTTCAAATTTTTATCTCACTCAAACAAATATAAAAGAATGTTATTTTATTATTAACGAACTGTTAAACCTCTATCCTTATTTCTGTTTGAATCCAGATATACTACAAATTGTTTTACTTTTATAACATTATCTAGTTCCTCTTGGGTCACATGTCACAACAGTTTGTTTATACTTTATCACTTTTTTTTTTTCAGTATAAACTAGTTCCGTGAGAGGACAGGGCACTTGGTTTGAATTGTGAATACACTGAATACACCTAAATAATATAAAATAAATAAAACTATTTTTCATTTTATTTTGTATATTTATGGGTTGTTTTTAAATATAAGGTGTTTTGTATAAATAGTATGGGTTCTTATGGTGAAATTTTGCCAATCTGGCAACCATGGCGATATGGGTCACAGCTGATAATCAAAACTTGCTCCCTGAGTGCTGCTCTGGCAGGTAGCGCCACCAAAAAGGCGCCAAACATTAAAACTGGTGGCCGATCACAGAACTATATTCAGCGTATACCACGTGAGTAAGCTCGACCAATCAGCATGATCACTTTGTGCCCGCCGCCAAGCTGATCTGAGATGTATCTGCACGAAATAGCACCTCTTTAGAAACTCGTGTACGTGTCATAAAAGTCTCAAAGACGTTGTTTTTTATAAAATATGAAAGTGCAATAAATCTTTAATCAAGAGAAGTAATTTGATAAAATTTTATTTCAAGTACACTCGTGCAATGAGCTTTGAAATTTTGTCTTACTAAGGTCGCCATTTTGATGAACGGATGTCTAGTTCGGATGGTGTGCTTAGATTTTAATGAAAAACTAAAGGTTTACTCATAAGTTTTCAAGACTATTTTGATTTCATTGTGTAGTGGAAGTGTCAAAGATGACCCAACAAACAAATACAACGAACTGGGTGATACAAGGATCCAATGGTAATTTTTGAAAATTAGTGCACGATAGCATGCCACAACTGTATCATAATCACAGGGGGTGGTGTAATATTATATTAATGTTTTGAGCTTGTGATAATTAGGAACTAATATAGTTAAGTAATTTTTGGAGGGGCATCAGTAGTAACTCCATAAATTGAAAGTTTTGTTTTTGATCCCTCCCGGTATTTTAAAGCAGATGTAATTCAAATTTAAGCCCTTTAAATTTGTACATTTCTGTCACAGATAACAAGTGACTAATTTTGGGTTTTCTGTATAAAACTAGGCCAGCCACAAATGATCAAGCTGGTTCAGTCTTCAGGAAAACCTATAAGTGGAATTATGACTTCGACAATGTCGGGGCAACCAGTTAAAATTTTTAAATCTCCTACAACACATGCAGAATCCTCGCAGGTAAGTCGGCATTATTTTTATTAAATTAATCCTTATTAAATGTTGCCTTTTCGTACATTTATGGAAAGCTACCTATTTATTTCGTATTCCATAGCTATTATAAATATATTTTGACTGAAGGAAATTATATTACTAAAGACTGATGAACTTATACGATTTTATTATTTAATTGTAACGCAATACCTAAATATGAATGTTGTGTTTTATTTGAAAACACCTTACTTATCGGTAATCGGTAATAATAAATTTTGAAGGCCTAGGTCGCAGTGATCCGTGTATTTATCCTTTCACTGAGACGTCCTGCCGGTTTTTATTAAAACAACGATCGAAGTCACTGTCTTGATAATTTTTAGTACCTACTCTGTTGTGATGTTCGCCCTGATGCTACTGAATCGCGTTTTACTGGGTAATAAAAATAGATGGAACGACCAACTAGAGAATGTTTATAATTCTTCGACAAGGGCGGCGAAGGAACTGAAGGAAGCATCAAACCGGGTTGCATGTAGGTTATGTTAAAAATGTATAAAACAAGTTTTCTCCGAAATAATCTATCTCTGTATAATACGAGTAAAGGTCGTAAAATAGGTGCCTACATACCTAGTTATAAATGATAATGTTTTCACAATTTAAATTTTTTCATTCGATCTTTTTTTAAGGAAGTATATGTATTTCTTAGTATTTTTTATATTAGAATTATTAATTTCAATTGCATGTAACTGATATTATCTGACTGTAACAAAGTAAAATAGTGAGGTGCCAGATTTACTTGGGAAATATTTCAGTGATATTTTTATTCTGTAGACGTTCAATTGAATTTGACCTTCACGATACAAAATAATATAATTTCAACACCTGGAAAATCATATTTGGCTCAGAAAAATCAGGTTCTTCCAGATTAGAAACAGGGTGGTTTCGTCTGTTTTCGGACTTTGCTGGTTATCGGCCATTAGAGGATATTAAATTCAATAGGTAATATAAAAGTCTAAGACTACAAATTAAAAGAATATCATGCCTATTGTCAGCCGCCATTATTTCATTAAATTTGAATATATGTTGCATGGAATGTTAATTTATGACATTTGTTTATACAGGGTGATTCAGAACTTATCAAAAAAAAAAATTCTGGATGTACAGGGGACCCTTACAAATACAATTTTGTAAAGAAAAAATCAAAAAGGGCAGTTCGAAAATGATTTAAAAATACACTTCTGCACGGCACTGGAAACTGGTCCACTGTAAAACCTGACCTCGCACAATGCGACCAGCATGGCGGTGTGATAAAAACGGACAAAAACTTTCGCAAGGAAAGAAATATGTAAATAGAATTTTATCGCACCTATTTTATATCGGCAAATTCAACTGCTTTTGCCTTTATTAATTAATAAAATTAATTTATGTTTTTAAATAATAAAATCATTTGACATACCCGATGTTACAACAACTAATCAGTATTTTATCCACCAATGTGTAAACACATTTGGGTCGGTTGTACACAGTTTCTACGAACTAACACAAATGTCTTGTTTCACCATAACACAAATGCTTCACCATAAATTATCCATCAACTCCGAGTACACGCAAACCATTTTTGACACTAACTACCCATTTTTGACACTAACTACTAAGAAACACCACTTGTAAACACCACAGATAACAGATCCAAATTAGTATTCGGAGTCGCTGAGGCCACGTGGCGAATGACGCTAGAGACTACAGTTGTCCAGCTATGTAGTGGTTGAATGCACTATAACTTCAATATTTTTTTTCTCGGAAACTATAAGGATTTTACAAAAAAAATTTTTACAATATTGATTCCATTTCTCATGCTGCATCTATTCCCAATTTTTTTTGGATAAGTTGTGAATCACCCTGTATATGGATTGCTTTCAATTCGCAAATTAATTACTTAAGGATTCATACTTGTTTATAGCCACTTCTGTTCCGTGGAAAAAAATATGTCTAAAATTCTATTGACAACAGGTATTCGGAAGAATTTTATTTTATACATAATAAAAAAATAGGAGAAATTTATTTGATTTTACTGAAAACACCACTTTTTTAAACATCAAATAAGCCCAACTGGGACACCCTGTATAAATGTAAACAATTTTGAAATGTGAAGAAATTGATCGTATATGAACACCCTATACCTAAGTGTAAGGGCGAAGCGAATAAACATTATGTTGATTGGCAATTCTTAATTATAATGACGCCATATTTTCAACGTGGTTTTATTTTAGTATCTTAAGTTGAAACGCGTATAAATGGGGTATCTGAGTATGCCAAGCAATTAATGAATTTAACAGCTTTTCTAAGTGATACATTTTAATTTCACTGCAACAGACAACCGAGCCGACAAGCGGCAATCAAAAAAATTGAAATTATAAAAATGTTTTTATGCATATTGACGTTATCATATTTCCCAAGCGTCTCCTTTTATCTTTGAAAATATTTGTATGACGTTGATAAGGCAATTGTTAAATAATAGGCATATACCATGAAATACGGGGTATGTTGTGCAGGGACGGCTTCAAATATTTTGTTGTGGATTTCGTGTTGGACAGTGTCGATTTTCGTAAATAAGTTATTTATTAGTATTTAGTAAATATTTCAAAGCATTTGTAAATATTGTCAAACAAGACAAAGTCACAGATTCGAATTTGCAATCCAATATTTTAATTACGTCATTAGATGTTGGTATAAAGGTATTGCCTATTTATATTTTTTAGTTTCATCCATTTTAATCAACCTGTTACTTTTTTCTTAATCAAAAAGAAAGCATAGTAAAATTGTTTACGATTTTCTCTAATTTTCACGACCTACTTAGCGGTTTTCTATATTTAGAAGTCATTTCAGGGATTTGCCTCTCACAATTTACAAAGCACTTCATTTTTTACTGGTACATTTTTAGAAACGTTTCCCATACCTACATACCTAACTATCCTGACTAAAATGATTAGATAGTAACATGTTGCTGTTTTATAGTAGGGCCCTGAAAATAAAAATATATTTTAATTGTAACAAAATATTTCAAAAAGTACTTTTCTGTTTTCGCATTGTTTTTGGAAAATAAAAATTTTAGAGGAATCGGTGGTTAATGTCATTAGTAATAAAATACTAGTTACTAGAATAATATCCATAAATTTCAAGGAATGTTTTCAGTAATGTTCCCGTATTTGTTCAAATAAGCCAAGTATTGCATTGAATTCATATTCAATCTTGGAGGTGCTCTATTACGTACCATATTTCATGTATTCTTGTTCACAAAGAGGAAGGACTAAACATATAGTTAATTTATTATCTCTAGGATTTTTCCGTAATTTTCTTGTCAGAAGCTTAATGCGTTATGAATTGCGAGGAAAAGTTGTTAGTATTATCTTATGTCGGTGATAGTTTTCCATATACAGTAGGTACAGAAATTAAGTGATATTAAAAAAATCCCAACATTTTGGATGATTTTCAGAGCTGCATCTTGGAGGGAAATGGTCGTAGAGAGAATAAAAATAAAATTAAATTGAAGCTTCAAGTGTCTAGTTTTCAGATCTGCAGTTTAAATTTGTTTAGCGTCAGCAGTTTTGAGTATTCATAAGAAAATCAACGGAAAAAAAATTGTAAATTTTTGCTTTTTTTTTAAAAGGCCTATGGACTTCAAAACATTTTTCTTGGCAATTTCATCATAAAACTCATCAGTTTGAGCGGTTCCTAAGCCTTGTACAATTATTTGTCGTCGATCAAAACAAAAAAATCATTTTTGACTTTGTTAATCGACTACTCGGGAAATAATGGTCGTACAGAAAATCCAAGCAGGGTTTTGAAAACACAAAGTATTCTCTACATGTCGTAATTATAGGTTTTTGATAAATAATTTTTTTTCAAAGTGAAAATATTTAGAAAAAAGGTAAAAAATTGCATAATTACTTAGGGATATTTTAATAACTTGGCATAACTTTGCAAATAATGAATAAACTAAGGATATCGACTAACGTTTCAACCTCAAAGTTGTTAAAGCTAAAGAAACCCTGATAATTCCAAAACGCTGCGATTTTCTTTCCTAGTGCCCGGAATATTTAAATTTGTCGTTTTGCTGAAAATCAATGTAATAAATAATTTTTCACTTTTTATTAATTTTTTAAGTTATAAATGTTTTTTAGCAATAATCCATTTTTCTTCTTCAAAAAACGTTCATGATTCTAGAGAAAAATTAAACAAATTCCTTATAAAGAGCTTCCGTATTAAATTTGTCGTTAACTTTTGCACGCTAATACAAAATCGCAATTAAAAGCAGGATTTTCTTATAGCGCTCGTTGTAGCATACAGGAAAAAATATGGTAATATAATCTTTTAGAACCAACAAATACCGTTTCATGATGAATTAAAGTGTAATGAAAAGAATAACAACTCATCCAGGGGATAATAAAACGTTTAATTGGCCCAATTTGTTATATCTTGCCGCACGACGTTTTAGATTTTTTTAATTGTAGTACGCAATGTGGAAATACTAGCCTTATTTTCGTCACGGGAAATTCTTATCTGATCCTAATATCATTAAGCTCAAATAACTGCTAACAAGATTTATTATAGACACACAGTCTACCTCGTAGGATAAGTAGCTGGCAGCCAAAAATAGACAATAGAAATAAAAGTTGTCTAGAAGCCGTGGTACCTTGCACACAAACGTGCTAGTTTTAACTTGTCAGGCCGTCGTTAGTATACCTAGCACATCGTAGAACTCATTACCATATACAGAAAATTTGGAAAGCTTCGACGAAGACGAGACGTATTTTGCCCTTGTTTGACTTGACATAACGGTGATTTCTACGGATTTAAAAATATGTGTCTCTTCTAACAAGACGTTTAGAGGTGCAAGATTGGTTTATTTATTTATTTATTTATTTATTAAAAATGTACTACTCTGACAGATAGTTCTAATTATAGGGCAAGACCTACAAAGGAAAAAGAAACTGCAAATAAGAAATATATCTCTAAAACAGACACATTTA